CAGGGCTGCGACTCTGCAGTTGGATACTATTATGCGGGTCTCGTGTTTATAAGAGCAACAAATTCTGATTGGCTAGTAATGTTAGTTTGGTTGAGAGTGAAAGCTGTGCTCCTTTCATACCATTGGTTGGCGAACTCATGGACTCGAAAGCGATATCAACAAAAAGTTTTTTTTTAATGTAGGATTATTTTTTTCCGCATCAAAACGCTGCACGCCGGAGGTCCGGCATGGTGCCGGAGAACTTTAATCCCTGCAGTTCAGGGTCACAGTCTCTCCTGTGTAAACAAGAAGAGCTTGTTGACTGACGTACAGTATGTTGTCCTCTGCGTTCGGTAGAGAGCCAAGTTCTCATGATGGACCAAAAGCAATTTGCTACAGAGAACTAAAAGCAATTAAGCAGAGAACTGACTACCGCTCTGACTGTCTGTACAGCCTCTGAATTGTCAGGACTGTGTATCCTTTCACACAACATAAATAACTTTCATTGTAGAAAGTTCAAAATTCTAGGTGCTCCCTGCTGGTATAATGTAAAAATGCAGCTGCATTATCATGATCATCTTCTGAACCAAGGAGAACGCTTAGAAAGAAGATAGTTAAAACATATTCATGACAGAAATCAATAAATTATGTGTACAATGACAATATATTTTTCAGTTCACTGATCAGCTTGGTCATAGTGGTCCTAATGAATTGGTTTGCTTTTAATTGCAATTTAACAGGAGTTGATTAATTTGCTCATGTCTGAAATAGACATCAAATTAATCTGCATATCAAAAATATATAATTACTGTTATTATTACTATTATTATTATTTGTGTGGTTATTTTTTTCTCTTTTCTTTCATTTACTGTTTAGTTATTACTGTATATATATATATATATATATATATATATATAAATGTTTGTGCAGATCTTTAAAAGAATAAATAGCACCACAAATAATATTTTGGTGGCCTTCCACCAAAATGGTGAACAGAAATAAATAAAAAAAGAAAAAAAAACTACTTTTGAGTAGTTAATAGTGCTATGTTAAATTATCACTGCTTGATATGATAAATAAATATTTCACAAGTAATCCAGCCAGTGTACTGAGCCTAAAGGACCACTAGATGGCAGATTAATTCTAGTAAAGTCAAAAAGATAGATCATGATATTTTCCTTTTTTTATAATGACATTTTTCTACTGTATACTTATTAGAGCTGTTACACTGTTTAGGTGTTACAGTATCTTAACTTGTTGAAGGAGGATTACATGGTAGGAGTCCAGGAGAACATGTTTTTTATAGGCAAGTTTTTGCATAGTGTGTAAAGGTTTCCTGTCACTGTGGGCTCCAGAGCACAGTAGTACAGAGCAGAATCTGTCACTTTGACAGAGGAGATGATCAGATCCACACGGTTTTTCTTTTCATTCAGTCTTGCTGAAAACCGAGAATCCAGATTCTCTGTGCTCTGGACCCGTCCAGAGATTTGCAAAATTAATAAAAGATATTCAGGAGCTGATCTGGGATATTGGCGGTACCAATGCAAACTAATAGCAGTTAAGTAGCTACAGGACAACGTTATATTGGCACCCTCCTCATCAAAGACCTCAGTTTGGTCTGATGTAATGGGACTCTCAAACCTTCCACCTGAAAATTATAATAAAGATAATTAGATATTGTAATGATAGACTCTGAACTATAACAAATGTAGTTTTAATTAAGCCATTTAGGAAGTCGTTTAGGAAGTTTACAGTGTAATTCTATTCAAATATGGTACATTATTAAGACACCATAATAAAAATAAAAAATATACTTAACTTTTATGTAATATTAAGTTATACTCACTCCCAACAGCACAGAGCAGGATAATTGTGATGAGCAGCATCATGCTAAAAATGCATCTATGATGGCATTTGAGATTTTGACAGGTGCTTGAAGCTCCTCCTCCTAACTCAGAGTGAATACTGAGCATGATAAACCCCATGAGATCTCAAGCTGTCAGCTTTTTGTACAGTAAGATTTGATTTCCTGGCTTCTGCATGAGTTACATCTTAAAAATGAAAAATAAGAGAAAAATATATTGAAGTATATAATGAGATATAAAGAAAACGGTTTTCAGTAATACAGTCACAAACAATTGTTAAAGAAAAATATACCCATCTGCAAGGGTTAACATCCAAATAACTATGTACAGCAACATTGTGAGACTAGGCAGAGCAAAATAACATAACATGACAAGTGACAAACTGAAGTCTCCTCTGGAAGCTCCGCCTCTTTCCTCAGTATGGAATTTGTACAGTAATGTAGCCGGCCAATCACATATTGCTTTACATAGTATATTTGTATTCATCATTTGCCAGGTGTAACCGCATCTCCTGCTGCTAAGAATATTATTTACTGCAGGGAAGGAAGTATTTTGTGGTTTGAAAGGCCACAGTTTTGAACATGAGTTTCTGTACAGCCTAATTAATACCTTTTGTCATAGTGTTCTTCTAGCACACAGTAGTTGGAAGCAGTGTCCTCCAGTTTTAAATTGTTAATTAACAGAAAAGTGGATGTCTTTGAAGTTGTGGAATCATAGCGAGGATCTATGCTTTGAAACCGTGTCTCTGATCGTGCACCTTTGAGTAACAAAAACTCAGGTGCCTGTCCTGTGATCAGCCTACCCCAGAAGAGCAAAACATGAGAGCTGCTTGATTCATATACAAGCATGTGAGAGTCGCCGATTCTCCCTCTTTACTGATGACAGTTTTTATCTTCGGTGCAATATGAGCACAGAAAGTGATTTCTGTAAAAATATCAATGAATATTTAAGCAAAGAAATGCTAAACTGTTTGGTTGATGCTAAAGTAATAGTGTGTTTGTACCTGCCAGAAATGTGAGACAGATGATAATTGAATTGGTCATCTGCAATTTGTACAGTAAGTATACCCAGAATGTTTTGCACAGCTCCTTATAAATGCAAAGGGCATTACAGTTAGTGTCTGATTAGCTCATCCCGTCATGAAGTATCACATCACAATGCAGTACTGATGCAGTACTATTATCCAAACACAGAACCAACAGGTGGCGACAAGTGACTGGACTTTCTTTGAGTGAGTCATTAAATGATTAATTCAACTGATTAGTTTAAAATGCTGATTCATTCAGGAATGAAACATGTCTTAATTGAATCATTCATTCTTTAGATTAATTAATTCAAAAGCTCAGATTTATTCAAGAATGAAACAAGCAAATGTTTTTATGAGAGAGTCTGTTTTTATGACTGAATCATTCACTCAATTGAATTGTTCAAAAACACAAACACCCCTAACTGTGTGTTGCTGCGAGACGCAGTTGGAACTATTTGAGTTGGCAGAGCAAAAGATCAAAAACAACTGGCAATATTGTGTCTAAAATGTAAGTTACTTAATATTAATGTCCTGTTAATAATCCATACTAAAGAGCTGTGCTGATAATATATAAAGCTTGCTAATTATTTAATCACTAAAATGGCCCCGTTTACATCAGCTCTCGTTTACTGTAGGCTACATGCAGCTGTTTATTTATTTGCTGCAGGTGTTACCATATTCTTCAATTTGACTCTGTGGTTTATGAAGACACAAATGTGGTTTGATATTCATTTGATAACTCGCTGTTCAAAGCAAGTTTTCTGAGTGAGTTTTTGTAAAGCCTCTCGGGCACTTTGTAACACTGGGCTGCTACTCTTAGAGCACAGTAATAGAGAGCTGAATCTGACAGAGTTACACTTTTAATGGTCAGTGAAGTGGATTTCTGGTTATGTAAATTTATTGTACATAAAAGTGACCTAACACAAACTCCATACTTATTAATCTCAACTAGACAAAATAATAGAAAATAATAAATAACAAATAATAAATAGCAAAATAATAAATAAATGGAATACTTACATATAAGAGAACAAATCAAACCAGTTAAACAGAGCAACATGTTGATAATGAGTAGGATGATGTTCTAGCTCAGCACAAACTGTTGTTCAACTAAACTTTCTGTTCTTTCCTTGTCACACAAAAGATGTGTCAAGCAAACTCCTCCCCTAAAAGCTGTAATTGAAACAGCAATGAAAAACACACAATGAGCAACAGTATAGAGTGGAGTGACTGGAGTCAACATGAACACACAGGTCAGAAGAATTGTAGAGCTGATCAAGAGAACTGGAGTTAAAGCTTATGACACTCCATAAGAGACTCTTTAATATACTTATCAAGGACTGTGAGGACAATTCTCCTCCTCATTTTTTGTCGGGAAAACAGTTGCATTAAATACTTCCAATACAAACAACTATTTGGTGCACAGGACTGATGTACTTTGGCAAAAATTACATTTAAAACCTTTTTGTAGCTTATGATATGAAATAAGCTTCTGAATGTTATGGCTTGCAAATCCAGTTGTCAAATGCAAATGCAATTGTTTGATACTGTTTTGACAGTGATGTAATGTGTGATCTATCTTAGTTTGTGTACAATGTTGTGTTTCCTGTGACTGTGGGCTGCAGGGCACAGTAGTACAGAGCAGAGTCTGATACAGCAGCAGAGGAGATGATCAGATCCACATGGGTTTTCTTGTCATTCAGTTTGCCAGAGAATCTAGGATCTTGATCCACAATTTCTGACCTTTGTGAAACTTTCCCAGTAGAATATAGAATGACTAAAAGATATTGAGGAGCTTGCCCAGGATATTGGCGATACCACTGTAGAGTATATGCAGATAAATAGTTACAAGACAGAGTTATATTTGCTCCTTCTGAATGGACTGGAGTGATGTCAATCGCAAAAGTGCCACCTGCAAGAATCAAAATTCATGTAAAATGTATTGAAACATCATAAAACTTTAGTTGTTAGTTAAAAAAAAATAATAATAACAATAATTTGGTATATTCAATCAGGAATACACACACACAAGACAACAAAGCAAAACTTGCAAGCAGAGCATAATTTTGTGCGATGCTGTATTCAGCACAAACTGTTGTTCAACAAATCATTCATTCCTTGTCAGGTACAGGAGGTGGTCTCAGATTTACTCCTCCCCTTCATATCTGCAGTCTATAATAGATGAAATAGCATTTGAAGCCTAGATAAGACAGATATGAACACGCAGGTCAGGAGTTCTACTCCACTAATAGCCTGTCATGGAAACGTTTGATGTTCTGTATTTTGGTCTCTAGTCAGTGTAGACCTATGTGCTGACCTAAAAAAAGTGTTTTTTTCCATGGTAAACTAGTTTTTTAGAGGTTCTTTAATAGTAAGATTTATTATAGCATGACAAAAACAATGAATTATCATCTTCCTGTATAGTTTCCCCCTAAGCACACATTTCCTTTTCTTCCAGCAGCTGTTACAATATCGTATTGTGAAAGAAGTGCATGTTGTGGTTTTACACAAGATATGATTGTGGTTAATTTTTTATTTGATTCATTTTTTTTAAGGCAAAAACTAAATAGTAGTTTCTTTGTCTTTTGGTTGAATGCTGTCAGATAAAATACCTGCAAGAGAATTGGAGAGATTTCATTACAGGTCAGTTGGATTTTCCGAAAATTCATCACATTTAAAATTAAACTGACAATAATAAAAACAGTTTCTTCAAAAATTATGTTGTTACTGTAATACAGTAACATTACAAAAAGTTTGCATGGCCAAAACATTTGTTCATTACATTTGAGTCTGCTCAGATTACATGTTTTATACCTGGTGTGAATATTAGAATCAGTAGAAAGCATCTCTCCATGTTGGGAAGGTTTACTAACTTGCTTTATGGAATGAAGTAAAGGTAATTGTATGATTGTAGTATCTTGTTGTGATGTTGCAGTGTGGGTGTGGTTTATGTAGACCTCCTTCTGTGTCTTTCCTTATTAAAAGCTGAAATGATTGTGCCTTCATTGTACTAATATCTTAAAAATAATTATTAAAACCAAAATTACTTGTTGAGTAACAGTTGAGTAAGTATCTTCATCCACTAATTTAGTTTGATCAGTTTTATGAATATATATTACTATAAAAAAAACAAAATAGAGGCTATTTATTGGCGTTAGAATATTCAGTATTTGATAGTGAAGTTTGTGCTTGTAGCATTATATTTGTAGTCTTGTGTAAGGCTGCACAGTGATCTGTATTTTAATCATGATCATGATTTCTGCTTCTTCTGATGTTTAAGCATAATCGTCTGTGATGTTTCTCCACTGGTTATTTATCATTTGCTTTATCTTGCATTGGTAACAAGCCTCCACTGTCTTTCAGTCGGGCATCCTCTCTGAAATGTACACAGCACCCCCCAGTGGTGGTATAAAATGTATTCCCCACTGACAACATCCAAAATTCTAATTAGGATAAAACATTTGTGAATCTAAAAAATATGATGGCTTATAAATTTTGACTTTATTTATTGCTATATTTTTCAAAAATGATGACACCTTTAGAAATATAAATTTGATATGCCATCAGTGTTTATTTAAATTGTCTCATTCAATACTCACTAAAGTATGAATATTCACTAAATCAATGCATGTACATAAAGGTACAGAAATACTAACCAGACAGAAAATGTATACTTAAATATGAATTTAAAACATCAGAATCTAACTGACATATTCATTTGTATGGATCCTGTTGTTTTTGGCAACTTCTCATTTTAAGAGTCAGTCAGGTTTTTGTATGGTGTGTAGTGTTTTCCTGTCACAGTGGGCGTCAGAGCACAGTAGTACAGAGCAGATTCATTCATTGTCTAGCAGAGCATGTCTCCTGCAAGCACCTCCCCTTAAAGGGGTCATATGATGCGATTTCAATTTTTCCTTTCTCTTTGGAGTGTTACAAGCTCTTGGTGCATAACGAAGATCTGTAAAGTTGCAAAGACTAAT